AGAGGAGATGAGAGATGAAAAAATAACTACAGTTAGATTACTTTTTATGGCTAAAAAGTAACAACATATTATTACACTCAGCATTACTATTAATATATTATTACATATTATTACATCTGTAGAATACTCTGTTTACCAAGCACTCACATCCATCATCAAATCTGGGCTTCATATAAGCCATGAGGTAAATTCACAGGAGGTAACAGATGTCATTACACTCATTTAAAAATCAGGAACAGATGCTCAAAAAGACTAAATGATTTGTCTACTTTTGCAAAGCTATTAAATGACAAAGCAGGGATAAAATTCCAAGACCCCAGTATCCTTTCCACTAAACTACATTGATTATTGGCACCTAAGTTCACAAATGCCAAAGGCTTTCCAGTTTACATAAAAGACTATGTATACATATTTTTTCTTCCTTTTTAAGACACAGTCTTGCTGTGTCACCTAGGCTGCAGTGTACTGGTGCAATCTGGGCTCATTGCAACCTCCGCCTCCTGGGTTCAAGCAATTCTCATGCCTTAGCCTCCTGAGTAGCTGGGACTACAGGCGTACACCACCACACCTGGCTAATTTTTTTGTATTTTTAGTAGAGATGGCGTTTCTTCATGTTGCCCAGGCTGGTCTCAAACTCCTGAGCTCAGGCAATCCGCCCACCTTGGCCTCCCAAAGTGTTGGGATTACAGGCGTGAGCCACCGCATCTGGCCGAAAGACATTTTATTTCTGATAGAACATTCAAGGTACGTAATAGGAGCTGTAAGAAGGAGGGAAAAACAAATTCCAATTCTATTTATATTTCATTGATCACTCTAGGGATAGTGAGTAGGGAGAAAAACAACTTTACCTCTGATAGTCTTCCAGAGCCATTCCCTCCTTGAAAGTGGGATAGAAAGGAACAGAGTAAGGACACTTCTTATGTAGATGAGCAAGAATGAGGTCCCCCACTCTGGGGTGGAGCTCCCAGATCCCAGATGCCACAACTGCGATGGGGAATGCTGCTTCATGGTGAGAGGCCACTTCCTCCTCGCCTTGTTTCTGAGAACATAGAGGTGGGTACAATTTTAATACCAGAGAAAGGCTGAAATCTTGTATACCAGCCTCTTCTTCCCATACCTCTAGCAACAAGGTTTCTCACCACAAATTTCTCTGCCAGTTTGTATTGAACAAAGTCCAGCCCCTGTGGGTTAAGTGTGACAGACACAGAGCGCCCACCAGATTGAACAGGTTTTCCAGAGAGCAGGCTGTGGATCTTGTCAAAGATCTCCTTCAGTTTTGAGCCTGAGCATGATAGAGAGAAATTAAAAGATACAACCACAGATCAATCTCTTTTTCTTTTTTTTTTTTTTGAGACAGTCTCGCTCTATCACCCAGGTTGGAGTGCAGTGGCACAATCTTGGCTCATTGCAAACTCCACCTCCCAAGTTCAAGCAACTCTCATGCCTCAGTCTCCCAAGTAGCTGGAATTACAGGCACCCACCACCATGCCCAGCTAATTTTTGTATTTTTAGTAGAGATGGGGTTTCACCATGTTGGCCAGGCTGGTTTTGAACTCCTGACTTTAGGTGATCCACCCACCTCAGCCTCCCAAAGTGCTGGGATATCAGGCATGAAGCCACCTCGCCTTCTGTTTTTTAATGTTTCAATACATTGGTTCCCACACATTCTTTATAGGCTCCCTTCAATATGCATGCATCAGCTTCAGTTTCAGGCATTCCATAGGCCAACAATTAGCCTTGTTGACATTTTATTTACTATTCTTGGTACCTTTAGCACAGAACCTGGGACCCAGCAGGCATACAATAAAAACTTGGATTTAGCCGGGCGCGGTGGCTCAAGCCTGTAATCCCAGCACTTTGGGAGGCCGAGGCAGGCAGATCACTTGTGGTCAGGAGTTCAAGACCAGCCTGACCAACATGGTGATACCTCGTCTCTACTAAAAA